CTGCTCTAATAAAGAAACACTTGCACATGTTTCACGCCCACAACCAACCATCACTCACCCTCAGGCTCAAAATAAGTTTTGGTAAAAGGATGAACAACTAAGTCCTTCAGGGGTACTTCTGAGTTAAAAAATGCTCAAGAAATATGCAAGTGGAGTAACCAGGTAGGTAGGTTTTAACGTTGCAAATCTGCAACGCCTGCCTCCAGAGGGTTAAGAGGGTCACACAGGACAAAATCCATAATAGAAGCCACCTCTTCCAGCAAAATTTGAGTCTGCATCTAAGCTGCTCTTAAAGAGTCAGCCTGTGAATTAGCAAGTTTTCCTCCCATTATTTTAGCACAAATTCTTTTTTCTTCTCAGAGGTTTTATGTGCCCTATTCTCTCCTCATAAGTTAGCTTTTATTTGGCAAAGTGTAAAAAAGTTTTTTTTTTTGTCTACCCCCTAGGGGTTGTATGAACTAGTCGACTAGTCGACTAGTCGACCTCACTGCTCTGTAGTGACTTTTCATGCCTGTCATCGACTAGTCGCTGTCACGTGATAATGACAAGATGCAGTCCTCGGAAAAGACAGCAGGTGACGAGCCCCTGCGCGTCTGGATCGAGGCGGAGGCGACGCGCTGTGCCAGAGCGTCGGTACTGACACCCGCCGTAAAACGGACATTTAACCAAATTGTGGCCTTTTCCCTCTTGCAATGTAACCTTCCCCTCATCCCCGTCCTAATCTTAACCAGTTTGCGCATGCAAAGCTCTGATTGTTGACACGCTCCAGACATCTGCGTCCTGAGCACGGCCACAGCAACATTATCAAATCAGGTGTCACCACTCAAAAACAAATGTAACGCGATCGTTCATGTCGGCTCATTTCCTTTTATGTTTTCTGTCTTTTATTTTTGCCTGATGCACCCCGCTGCTGTGGAGCAGGGTGCATCATCTGTTTTGTCCTCCGGTGACGCACTGCGGCCGGCGAGCAGCTCGCACTCCGCTGTTTTAGCGGTCGGTGGATCTTTTAGAACTGCAGTGCAAAGGTAACTCATGAGGAGAATATATATGAACCCAGGTAGCAGTTTTTCTTTAGGATTGAGAGGAGATGCAGGAAGATAATAAACAGAGACAGGACAGAAAAATAGTCGAATAAAAACAAATTCGTTTTTGTACCTGGTGGTTGCAACAAACAGACACCATTGAAGGTAATCAGAAGTGCAGAACAGAAAATGAAATAATTATTTTAATGTTTAGAGCAGCAGGAACTCCGAGAGGCTGCAGGCGCATCAGTGAGTTTGCGCCGCTGCGCAGGGGGAGGGGGGAGAGGGCTGAAGCAGGAACAGTATATATATGCAGAAACTACCGTTGTTAAGAGATGTGTTTAACTTTGAAAATGTGGGCGCAATTTTAATAGTCAAAAACTCCAGCGAACGAACCGACCCCCCCCCCCCCCCCCCCGCCGTTTCAGTTGTATGACGTCATCAACGACTAGTCGAGGTCGACTCGATTTTCATTACTTGACTGTCGACTTTAAAAAAAATGAAGTCATGCAACCCCTACTACCCCCTAAAAATAACAACATAGCTGGTGTAACCCACTTTTGTGGGACTTTTATTTTGAAGGTGCTGCTGACAGGATGTGATGTTTGGAGAGAGAAAAAAAAAGAAGTTGGAACAGAGTTGTTAATGGTGCCGTTAAATAAAGCGACCCTGAGAGTTCACGGTTATCAACCTTTTCTTGAGCAACCACGATCCTATATCTTCTCCCGTCTCTTTCTGGAATGCTCGGTTGGTGGCAGCGGTGGGATGGGCCATTCGACAGTTCAGACACTACCTCGGGTCCGCCACCTTCACCATAATAACGGACCACAAACTGCTATTGGGGCTTCAAGGTTTGGCCATTGATAAAGACCCGTTGGGGAAGAGAGCTCGATGGATCCTGGAGTTGGATCCTTACAACTGGGTGTTGCAGCACAAACTGGGCCAACAACATACAAATGCGGACGCGCTCTCAAGGCGCCCCAATCAGGATGTGGACAGTGCTACTGCAATGATGAATGTGGTGGACACTTGTTTCCAGTCCAATGTCTCGGGTCCATGCTCGGTCTCTGGACACGCTGAGTATAAGGATGAAGGCCCGCAACTGACAGGGTTATTGAGTGACACGGGGGCCTTAACAGTGCAACAGTGGAATGACCCTGATATCAGGGTGGTGCTAAACTGGTTGGAACAGGCAGGCTCTCTTCCAGCACGGGGACAAGTGAGGGGTGGCTCCCAGTGGCTCCGAAAGCTGTGGACTGAGTTCCCGAGGTTGTCACTGGTGAATGGATTGTTGTGCCGAACTGTGAACTCTTCTCCGGTAGGGAAAGCACTGTATCAGGTGGACGTACCTGCATTCCTGGTCCCTGACATTTTGTATCAGTTGCACAGCGGTCCAGTAGCGGCACATTTTTCTGCTGAAAAAGTGTGGGAGCGGGATAGAGGCCTCTGTTACTGGCCATCTATGCTCAAGGACATTCGCCAGTGGTGCGAGCAGTGTGTTCCGTGTCAGACTCGCAGGAGTCCTGTGCCGAAACATCATGCCCCGAAGGGAGGTTTGAAATCTGTTTGCCCTTTTCAGAGGGTTGCTATGGACAATCTGGAACTCCCAGTGACATCAAAGGGGTGTAGATATGTGCTGGTGATAGAGGATTATTTCTCTAAATTTGTCAACCTGTATGCTCTGTTGGACCAAGCTGCTCACTCCGTGGCTCAGTGTTTGTTTGAAGACTATATACTGTTACATGGCATCCCTGAAACTGTTCACAGTGACCAGGGTAGACAGTTTAAAGTGGAGATTATATAACGACTGTGTACATTATTGGACATTGATAAAACGCGTACTGCGCCATACAATCCCAAGTCAGATGGTATGGTGGAACGGTTTAACCGTACGCTCATTGATCAGCTGGCTAAGTCATTGTTGTCCTGTGGGGGTGAGTGGGACGATTATTTGAAGCAAGTAGCTTTCGCATACAACACGACCGTGCATGCAAGCACGGAATACACTCCTTACTATCTGATCCACGGCAGGGAGGCTCGTGTTCCGGTGGATGTGCTGGTTCCGAAGCAGGCAGTGCCCTCTGATCTTCCCCTGTCACATGCGGACTTTGTGTCGGCTATGAGGGATCGGTTGGAGGTGGCCTTTGCCAACATGAGGCAAAATGCAGCAGTGGCTCATGAGAAACAAAAACTTCATCACGACACCAGTACCCGCCATCAGTCATACTCGACGGGGGGTCTCATGTGGCTTCATAACCCTCGGGAGGATAGGAAGAAACTGGCTCCCCATTGGAGGTGTCCCTTCAAGGTCTTAGGTGTGTTGGACTCAGAAGGGGTAGCAGGTCATGTGTATCGCATTGGTGACCTCCTCAATGATGGAGCACCCCCCAAGTGGTTCATTACGATTGGTTGAAACCATACACTTTGGGTTTGATCCTGTCCCACCCTCAGGGGTCCGCCTGTGTCCCACGTTGGACGCATCCTCGCGGCTGGGGGACGAGGTGATGAGGGTTGGGTCATCTCGGACTGTTTCACGTGCGGGAAGGGCTGTTCGACCGCCGGGTTGGTTTAAGAACTTTGTCACTTATTGACTGTTGTTGCGAAAAAATAAAAAAAACTTTGGGTTCTGAGGTTTTTTTCTGGTGATGGGCCCTTGTTGGGGGATTTGTGTATGATGTTTTGTTGTGAGTTGTTATGCTTTATTGCAGTTGATGGGGGGGTGGGGGTGTTGTTGTTTTTGATGTTGTTTTGACTTATTATTAATATTTTTTCTCCTCTCTTTCTTTTCATGTTTCTTTGTTGTTGTTGTTGTTTGGAAACGTGGACGTTTTTTGTGTGGGGGAGACATGTAACCCACTTTTGTGGGATTTTTATTTTGAAGGTGCTGCTGACAGGATGTGATGTTTGGAGAGAGAAAAGAAAGATAAAAAAAGAATTTGGAACAGAGTTGTTAATGGTGCCGTTAAATAAAGCTTGACCCTGAGAGTTCACGGTTATCATCCTTTTCTTGAGCAACGATCCTATATCTTCTCCCGTCTCTTTCTGGAATGCTCGGTTACACTGGTTTGAGTTATCTGTATTTCTTACCTGTTTTGGATTGGATTGGGGGTTTAAACCACCAAATTGTTCCCGAGCCCAGCCACAGCTGCAGCTCACCGCTCCCCACAGGGATGGCAGGTCAAATGTGGAGATGGATTTTCAACAGTGTGTGATGATGACTATTGGGACTATTGGGGCTTTAACTTGGAACTTTATAGTTTCAGGTCACGGATGCCAACGTCTTTTTGTCAGGACAGAATTAAACAATTCACTAAAACTGCTATTTAAAAAAATAATTCATATTGATTGGTGGTAGATGATGGGAAGGGAATTTTAATCAAAGAAATGAATGTGCATGAGTGCACACTTAAATGGAAGGGGATGAGACTGTCTCCAGGGGAGGTTTGGAACTTAAATACAAAAAAGCAGCCAGTTTCTTTCCAGGCATGTCTGGGGGAAAAAAATCTAATGATTGCAATTAATTGATTTAATAAATAAACAGGTTACACCTCAAGAAAGCACAGAAAAGTATGCTCCTTCAACGTTTTTCCCACAACATGCTAATGAGATACCATTGCACTTGTCAAAAAGCGATCACAAACAATGGTATTTATTATATTTTTGTTCTTCCTGCGTGAACACCACACAAGCCATCAAATCCAGGACCACCTGAGACACGCTGGAACGTTTGGTATGCATCCTCTTTCAAACCAACATCACAGGGGGAGACGGCATGTCCATGTATTTGCTTTTATTCTAAATGGCAGTAAAACGTACAAGTAACCTCATTATATACATTTTAAGCTACTAAAATGTTTTGAAATGATTAATGACAATGAAATTACAAGAGTGCTTTTATTTTTGGCGACCTTTCAAATGAGGACACCCCTACAAAAGAACCGAAATGGTTCATCCCACGGTAGCAGCGTCGTCGGTACGGGCAGCGGTGACTGCAGTTCAATGAAGCCGCCAGTTGGACAAATAGGGCTGGGCCACCGAAGTTGTGACAATTTACGAAGCTTTTTAATTACCTGGTAGTCGATAACAAGGATATTTACTCAGCAAGTATGGACAGAAACGTCATTTTTCTCCTTTTAGTGGATTAAAGAGGATATTTTCCAGCTGATAACTTCCTAGACGTGGAGTTTCATGTGTTTAGTGACGTTTTTGTTACCTTTAAAACTGACCTATACTGTGTGAGAATGATTTTTGCTAATACTGGAAACCCGCTAAGGACTTCGTATCGAAAACAGGTAAATAAATGAACATTTGATGAAACACGGTCTTGGGACGCTCTAGTGAACTTCAAACGTCTTAAAATTGTTTTTTTTCCCAGCGCGAGCTCCAATTACGTCATCCACCATTAATAATGAGAATCCCTGCTGCTCAGACAGTGGTCCAGGATAGACACAAACACTGAAAGACATGCTTCCCATCACATCAAACCTAATGTTTTTTTTATTACACGTGATCTTTTTTTCCACCACTGATTGGATACCATTTAAACAAAAATAAGCTGTGTTTAGACTATCCTTTGTTTTTTTAAGGTTTCAGTTTCATCAACATTAGTTTCAAACCATTCATTTCCCCCCTTGGTGTTTCAGTGTTCAGTAAACACTATTAATAAAGTCTCTTTCTGCTTATATTATTAGGATTTTTCCAAATCTAATGTAGATTTTACATTTGTGTGGTTATATGTATCCTGCCGATGATCCTGCCCTACTCATGGCGTTGGCCCTTGGCTATAGAGCTTCATGGGCGAGGCCTCTTACTGGAAACCTTGTGTATATTTCCGGAGAGACTGTGGCTGCTCTGCTGGTCTGGAGCTTGCTGATAAGATGCCACCCTCTCTCCATCTCTGCTTCGGAGCAGCCAGGCAGATGCATGAAAGCAAAAATCTCTCGTAGTCTCCCGGGTGCAGAAAAATGTCAGTCATGAGTCGTAAATAAACTGGGGCCCAACTTTCTGATTGTTTTTAAAAGTGAAGGTCGTTGTAATTAATCTGAAAGTTTTGCTAACTCTTTTAGGACTAGTTGTTTAGCTTCCAGAATTTGCTGCTTTCATAAATGCATCAGTGATTTAAATGAACAAAAATCAACATAACTGTAGTGTATTTCTAGATTAAGAACTCACTTTGTGGTCAACACTATAATGTGAATAATCCGTCATTATTCTGCCTCTATAATCCAAGAAACTAATTTTTAAGAAGATGAGAGTTACATTTATTTTAAATTATCACAATTCCAGCAAAACACTTGCAACTGTTGCTGTTGCAGGTGTCTGATGAGGCAAATTTGCATTTTCTTTAGCCTCTAATCAGCTCAAAACAAAAGCAGTTGGTCAGACTTGTTTTGTGCTGAAGGCATGTGCGGCAGTTGACCAGTCGGTCACAGGAGAAGATCCTCTAGGCTGAAGTCCCGACTTGGGTTGCTCAGTCCTGTCACCGCTTCATGCTTGGGATACCATCAGCTTCCTCTTGGCTTGGGATTCATCAGAGAAAGGGAAGGGGGTTAACTCTGGAGATAATCAGTGTGAGATAGTAAGGAGGGGGACAAATCCCTGAAGGGGAAAATTCTGTCAGATTAGGAAATCTGGCTTTCGCTCACCCGGAATGTCAGATGGAGGAGTTTAAATTCTTGCTATGAGTGTTTGGGTTCAAAGAAAAGCCAAGCACAGCAACACAAAGACTGGGCTGATTAATCGATCACCAGATGCACTGAGACATTAATATAATCTGATGTCAGTGCTGCAGGTCCCTGTGGACCCCTTTGTGCTGACCGTTTAAGTGGGATATGGATTGTTACTCAGTGCTCACTAGAACTATTCCCACCCTTAACTAGAGTTCACATGTGCACGTCCTTAAAGATTAAAAAAATTTTCATCATGACAATAAATGTGTTTTGGTAAGACAATTCCCAGTTTGGTGCATTTGGCACAATTTAAAGAGCAAGTCACCCCTACCAGAGTATTACTCCAGTCCCACTTCCTGTTTGAAAAATACAACAAATTCTGTTGCATAGCAGACTGAGAGGGTGGAGCCGCTAACACACACACACACACACACAGGCTTGCAACAACATTGTGACATCATATGGTACCAGCTAACGTTCTAAGGTACCTCTTAGCCAATAGCGATGGCAGATTAAAATTCAAATGCAGTGCAGAGTTTTTACCTGACAACGGCACAACACTGACAGTTTTAGGCAGAAAATTAAAATTTTAACTAAAATGCACTAAAGTGCTAAACTATTGACTACATGTGTCTGCACATTTATATAGTTTATCAGAAAAAAGTTGATTTGGGGGAAACTTGCTCTTTAAGTACATAAATTACATCCATGATCCTTTTAGCTGTGAGTTAAAGCCGACATGTTTTTGCCCCCTGTTAAGCCACACCCCATGGCTCCGCCCAGTCCGAGCACCAACAACATCAGCAGCACTGGAGGCTGGGACCAACTCAGCAAGACAAACCTCTACATCCGAGGCCTTCTGCCTTCAACCACAGACCAAGACCTGGTCAAGCTGTGTCAGCCGTGAGTCCAACTGATTCTTGACGTCATCAGATAATGATCTACCTGATAGATGAGTGTCTTTTGGTCATCGGGGACCATTTGTGCCCCCCTGAGGGATTTTGTGCAACTCCAGGCAGGCTGTTAATGTAGATCAGGGGTCCCCAATCCTGGTCCTAGAGGGCCGGTATCCAGCAGGTTTTGTGGTTTTTCTGCTCCAACAGACTTGATTCAGTGGTTGAAACACCTGTGCAGCAGCTCATCAGGCTCTGCAGAAGCCTGTTAATTAGCTGCTGATTGAAATCAGGTGTGTTGAAGAAGAGTTCAAACTAAGGCCCTGTCCACACGTAGCCGGGGATCTGCCAAAACGTAGATATTTTTCTACGTTTTGGCCTGTCATCCACACGAAAACGGAGTTTTTTCACACGAAAACGGATCTTTTTAAAAACTCCGGCCAAAGTGAAGATCTGCGTTATCTCCGTTTTGGATGTCTGTGTGTGGACAGACAAAACTGGAGTTTTAAGGTCCGCAACGTCACTTTCCGTGACAAAAAAATGCTGACATCACGTGTGCGACCTGTGTTTACACTAGCCGACAGCATGGATGCCCTCAGAGCTGTGCTCGCTTTATCAATTGTCCAAGCGCTTTTTGCTTGTTTGTTTTTGCAAGCGGAATTACTGCTCCTTGTGGAAGACCACAGACGAAGGACGTGGTTAAGAACGGGGGAAGTACTGCCGCCTACAGGTCTGGCATGTCCTTAACAACGTATTTATCCGGGTACGTGTGGACAGAGTTTTTTTTTAAACGAGGTGGTGTGGATGCAAGTTTTTGGAGGGGCAGATATTCGTTTTTTAAAAAAAACCCGGCTACATGTGGACTAGGCCTAAAACATGCAGGATACTGGCCCTCCAGGACCAGGATCGGGGACCCCTGATGTAGATGATCAATTTTTATGATACAAATTTTACTAATACGCCTATTCAAGGCCTACTTTGAGAAGTGTAAATTTTAAAAAAGCATCATGAAATAATTTTTGCATGCTTTAAGTAAAGAAAAACATGTTTTTTGTGTTCCAGCAAAAACTTTTAACTTGATGATTTGGGCAGTTGTCTTCAAAACACACTATGCGATACGGCTTCTTTCTATTTGGCACATTATAGTTGGTAGTAAATATGTTTTTTGTTAAATTAACGACACCCACATGATTGGCCTTTACAAAGGGCAGAGGACATATTTCATAGATCCTATGTGCAGATATCCAATCCAATCCATCCAATCCAATTTTATTTATAAAGCGCATTCACAAGGCATTACAACCAAACAAGGCGCTGTACACTAAAAATGTTAGTTAATTAAACCGGCGTTATACAAACATGTCGAACACAGATAAAAAGGAAAAACAACAAAATTCCCAAAACTAACAGCTAAAAATCAATAAGACACAGGGAGAATAAAAAAATTAGAAAAACATTTTAAAAAAGAACCTCAATAGTACGGAAGTTGATATTGTGAAGTCCATTTTTAAACAGTGCAGATGTAAGTGAGGTTCATAATTATGTTGTATAAGCTAGGTTGAAGTAGTGAGTTTTCAAGTGTGATTTAAAAATGCTAGCTGTTGGTGCTAGCCTCACTAGCAGTGGTAATGCGTTCCACAGCTTGGGTGCACAGACAGAGAAAGCCCTTTCTCCACGGCTTTTTAAACGTGCATTCGGAACAGCTAGGAGGAGCTTATCTTCAGACCTGAGAGCATGTGGCAGGTTGTAGTAATGGACAAGTTCACACAGATATGGAGGAGCTTGATGGTTCAAGGATTTGCAAGTTAGAAGCATAATTTTGAAATTTATCCTGAACTGCACGGGCAACCAGTGGAGAGATTTCAGAATTGGAGAAATGTGTTGTCGTTTGTCAGCTCCAGTCAGGAACCTAGCTGCTGAATTCTGGACCAGCTGAAGTCTAGAAAGAGCTGCTTTACTGATGCCATATTAGCAGGAGTTAGCGTAATCCAGCCTTGAAGTGATAAAAGTGTGGACCATGGATTTCAGAAGATGGATATAAAAAAGGTCACAGCACTATAATTTAATGCTGGGCTCAACATGGCTAAATATGCATATCACAGGCTGCCCGCGGATACGCGGAGTAGGAAGTGACGCCACCATCAGCGTCAGCTTTGAGGATGTTTGCAGCCGCAAACGAAACATCAGCTAGGTAAAGAAAAACCTTATCTGTGTTTAAAAAAGAACCAAAAATGGAATTTGAAGACAAACACAGCAAGAACGTACAAAAAATGTTTAAAGAAAGGTCAAAAGTTCAAGCTCTTTCACCTGGTTGAGTGTCCTCTCCTGTAACCCTCAGATGAAATGTCCAGGTTGTAAAGTACAATGTGGTTTGTAATCTAGGTGATAATCCAGATCAAAAGACAGACAATTGTTTAGAAAAACACAATTTTTCACTAATTTATCAACTTTTGAGGAAAAGAAATCTACTAAATTCCTTTTGTGATTCCTTAAACAATTTCAAATTAGTTAGTGCAATGGAAATTAGAATAAAAAAGCTAATTTAAGATTTTTTATTTTATAATTTAAACTATTTTTGTCTTTACTTTTACCTGTGATTGTGGTCCTCCTGGAGATGCCAGTTGTTATTATAGAGGTAATCGTGAGCGCGTTCCTTTGGTCTATGTTGTCTTTAATGTTCCTGTTGAAACCATAGCAACAACCTAAACAACATCAGTGGTTTTTTTAGCTATTGTTTGCTCGTACATTATAAAACCCCACAAATGCTTAAATATATATAAAATGGAATTATACGCCCATTTTTCTTAGATAAGTCACCTCAAAGGATGAAAACAATATTTGTAGAAGTTTCTCCCTATAGAGTTTTTTGTAAATAACGTTAGATCAAAGTAGCTCTGCTGGCTGAGATCAGTGTTTTGTACACATTCTGGGGCTTTCAGCTCCACTTAGAAACCACTTCCTGTTTCTCATAGTTTTGCAGTGATGTCATGGATCATTGCTCAATTCTCCCTGTGTGTGTTTTATAATTAACTGCTTGTGCCTTGTTTGTAGCCCTTACTCACAATACTTCTTTCTTTCCCTCCCTTAGGTATGGTAAAATAGTATCGACGAAAGCCATCATGGACAAGACTACAAATAAGTGTAAAGGTGTGTCTCTCATTCATCGTTCCTCTGTGGAAAAGAAAACTTCACTTTTACCCAAACTCTTGGAGCATGTCAAATGATTGAGCAGGTCTGTGGTTTCAGTTGGTTTCAGTTCAGGAACCAGGCTGCTTAGAGCACGTGTGTGTGTGTGTGTGCGTGTGTGTCACATTCAGTAATGCTTCCTTGGAAGAAGTGGCCTGCAGAGTGACATAGTTGGACTCGGTCCAGTCCCAGTTGACTCCTCATCCTGACGAAGGGGGACTCTGGTTTTCAGCAGGAGCGTTGAGATTAAGTCATTGCTGTGTCACGCTGTTCAGGATTACAAAGACACCAGTTAATCAGAGGCCGTCAGTGTGTGGAGACACCAATAAAGATCTTGTGACACTCTGCTGGATTATAAATACACCTCAGCGAGGTTTTGTGTAGTTCTATATTCAGGAAAGTTTCTGTTTCTCCCAAAGGAAATCTTTAAACTGTAGCCAAAAGGGATACAGGGCAAGTCTTTAGTAACAGAGTGACCCAACACCCTGACCGTATTGGAAGGTGTACCCCACAGGACAAAAGGCTGACCTGGGCCTGGGCTGTTGTAACTGTGTCTCTTTTCTCCTCAGGATATGGTTTTGTAGACTTCGACAGCCCCGCTGCAGCTCAGAAGGCCGTGGCTGCCCTGAAGAGCACCGGAGTCCAAGCTCAGATGGCAAAGGTAAGGATTCATTACGGACTAATCCGGATATCAAATACATGCAGGTCACCCAGTAACACCGCTCTCTTCTGGCGGGCTGGGCAGGCAGTTTAAACCTAATCCTCGTAGATTTCAATAACACGACATGAATCCTTGGCTGTAAGGGTGTAGGCTGCACAACTATTGGTCTATAGCAAGGGTGCCCAATCCTGGTCCTGGAGGGCCGGTACCCAGCAGGTTTTATGGTTGTTCCTCTTCCAACATACTTGATTCAGTAGTTGAATGTCAATGTCAAGTTTATTTATATAGCACATTTCCAACAATCAGAGATTGCACAAAGTGCTGTACACAGACAACCAGTACAAAATAAAATGATAAAACATTGAGAAACATCCAGTAGACCCTATGTAAAATAAATGAACGAAGAAATCAGTTGTTTTTTTAAGCAAGGGTAAAAAGGTAGGTTTTTCAAAGAGACTTAAAGGTAGAAAGGCTGTTAGCAGACCTAATCTGTAGGGAAAGGCTGTTCCAGAGCTTGGGAGCGGCCACAGAAAAAGCTCTTGTCGCCTCTGGACTTCAGCCTACACTGGGAACAGATAAGAGACGTAGAGAGGATGATCGCAAGTTTCTTTTGGGGGACATGAGTGTTTAAGAGTTCTGACAGATAGGGAGGGGCCAAATTGTGTTGTGCCTTAAAACAGAGCAGTAGCATTTTAAATTGAATCCTGTAAGTGATCGGGAGCCAGTGAAGAGCTTGTAAGACCGGAGTTATGTGATCCCTGCGTCTCACCTGCTCAGCAGCTCATCTGGCTCTGCAGAAACCTGCTAATCACCTGCTGATTGATATCAGGTGTGTTGAAGCAGAGTTAAAACTAAAACATGCTGGATACCTGCCCTCCAGGACCAGGATTGGGCACCCCTGGTCTATAGGCTCTTTTTGACTCACTGAGTTGAGTTATGAAGAAAGGTCCTGTACATAAAAATTCAAACTACTTTTACAAATATTCTTAGATTTTTCTACCTGATATTGTGTTTCTCTTTGCTGTTAATCTTATATAATGAAATGTTCGTATTATATCGGGTTTTCTTGTCCTGGAAAGATTTGGTAGAAGATGAAAGATTTGCCTAAAAACTGTTAAAGAGCAAGTCACCCCCAAATCAACTTTTTTTTCTGATACACTATATAAATGCGTGTCTAATCGCGCTGCAGACACATGTAGTCAATAGTTTTGCACTTGAGTGCATTTTTCTTATAATTTAAATTTTAACTAGAACATTAGCTGGTACCATATGATGTCACAATGTCTCTCTCTCTCTCTCTGTGTGTGTGTGTGTGTGTGTGTGTGTGTATTTGTTAGCAGCTTCGCCTTCTCGGTCTGCTAGGCAACAGCATTTGTTGCATTTTTAAAACAGGAAGTGGGAGTGGAGTAATACTCTGGTAGGGGGTGACTTGCTCTTTAAATTATTCTTATTAGTGTTTTAATCCTGTCATGCTGAAGCAGGGGTATGTAGTTTAACATTGTTAAAGTAACTTCAGCAATGCTTAAATGTGACTATCTGACCCTGTTCTGGTATAAAGTTGGTAATCTTTTTATATTTTCCCTAAACCTCCACTCTGGCCTCTACAACAAAACAAATAATGTACGCGAAGCCAGAGCGTCGGCCGATAGAGCTGTCAATCAACAAGAATGCACTCCAGTACCCAGCATGCACTAAGGGGTGACACACTGACCCACAGTTTGCTTAGCACACCAACCTAGCTTGAATGCTAACTTGACCTTAATGTCAGTCTTGAAACTTCAAGCTAACTGAGGGAGAGGAACCAAAAGGGATTTACCTTTTGTGTCTTGGAGCTAACGTATTAGCGTAGCTTTCAACCTTACGATTCACTGGACTGTTGTGTTAAGCCTGATTCATGCTTCTCTGTCTGCGTCAGTGCGGAGACACGCAATGTCCTTGCGGGCCTGCTGGAGAGCTCCGCAAGGACGGACGGAGTCAACTCTCTTTTCTAAACATCCGTCAGTCGAGACCAAGCCCCCACAAAGCGGCTCAAAAATTGAAGCAATCCCTGAAGTACCAAAAGTTGCAGTTCCACCCTCATCCGCTGGGGGCTGTTGTCAGAAGCGAGCAAATCCTCATTGACTCCCATGTTTAAAAATACCAATTTCACTGCAGAAATAAACATGTTTACAGCCTGGTACCAAAACATGTTTTTGGTTTAAATGATCTAGTTTACACTCATGACAACTCTGAGGGGGGTGAATTTTTTTTTCTCACTCTTCTGTTTAAGTGTATTAAAAGCCTAAAAGTCTGTGTAATTAATGAGCATCAGACCCACGTGGAAAGGCCTCAGTAGAGCCTCGGTCTGGCTTGGAAACTGCTCCGGGATTTTGAGTCTCTGTGTTTGTGTATTCTGTTTCGGATATTATTTGTGCAATTGTTGGACAAAATGACTTGCTGTGGCATTAATTGCCAGGAGTCTCCACTTCATTTTTTTCAGTAAGTAAAATTATATTTATTTATTGTATTTATGTATTTTAGGTCACTGCCGAGCTGAGCTTAGATTTTAACATGTACTGTTTAACCATGAAATGTAAATGTAATAGGGTAAACCCCAGTGCATTTAACATAATGCTGCACTTTAGAAAATGGGTTGAAATATAACATGTTGGTGGAGCTGGGTTACGACTATCGGCTTGTGGAGCTCTCGGGATACCTCTGTATTCCACCCGGTTCTCCCTTCCCCGCAGCTCAGCGCATCTCTGCCTGATCGCGGCCCCTGACTGCTGTGCGGCTGCCGGCTTGTGGAGCTCTGGGAGACCTCTGTATTCCACCCGGTTTTACCCAGCGGTCAGCCCGGCGTATCTCTGACTCAGAAGCTCTGGTGTTGTGCACAGTAGTTAACTCCGGTTGTAGCCAGGTTGCTACCTCCGTTAGCTTAGCTCCCACCTCCGCATTAGCTTTGGGTTAGCTTCAGGTTAGCTTGTAGCTAGTTCGAACGGGTGTCGTCAGTTGATCCCAGCCTTACAGCCCCACCCTCAGCTCCACCTCTCTTCCCTTTTGTGGAATTGTCTGGGCTTGACGGAACCTGTGACACGGTCAAAATGGTGGTGGTGGCCACCTCCCATTTCTCCTCAAAAACGTGTTATTGGGGTCTTTGGAAACCCATTGTCCAATATTTATATGTCGATGGTCGAGACGGACAATGCAAGCTTGCGATTGGTCAGGACGCTGCTGTCATCTACACCACCACCGGTTTTTGCGCCTTCAAAAACATAAAAGAGAGCCGAGGATAACTAGCGGCAGACACGGAGAAGCTTGAAGAATACCTCGCGAAAAAACTCTAAAAATATGAACGTTTAATTCCCCCGTGACTGGAGGAGTGAAAAGATGCACAGCAAGCGTTTTATTTGTGGACGGAAATGACAGGAAACGTGGGTTTAGAGACGGGGAGCCCATGAAGAGATGGAGGAGAATGAGAGACAAATTTGTCTGTGTTAAAAAGTCTCTTATATAGAAAAAAACACAATATAAACACACTATCTTGGACCGATACATGACAGGATACCACAGAACAGCGCTACGCCCTCTGTTGTCCTGCCGGGGAAATGCTTTGCAACACTCCCCAGGAGACGGAGAATTATGAGAGCAAAACACTTCCGTCAATCCGTGCGTGTCTGTCCCTTGCGGAGCTGACGGAGAAGCATGAACCAGGCTTTAGACTGTTTTAGCATTAGTGGGGTGTGCTAGCATCGCTAGTGCTAGATTCATGCTGGTTTCAGATGTTTCCCTGCTTGAACTCTGCATATTTGATTAAAACAAGCGATTATCACATGTCAGCTTCTGCAGAACCCGAAGGAGGAGATAATTCATCATTTAGAATCAGGTGTGTCTGAGAAGGAACGTATCAAAAATAACACTTGTCCATTAGCTCTACAAGGCTATTTGTGTGCGTGGGCGCAGTACGAGGGGGGAGTAGGGGCCCCTTGATGACATCACGCTACAGACCCCAACTTTAATCTTTGTAATAAATGAGCATCAACACAGAGTTGTACAAAACATCTGGAAACAGTAGTACACACTGCCCCGCATCAACTACTGTTATGCGTTGTACGCTGGACTGAGTCAAGCCACTACTGCACAACTGGCTCCCGGTGTTTTATCGGGATTTAAGATCCTCCTCCATGTGTTCAGGGTGCTGCAGGGCAGTGCTCCCCCATATCTTGCTGAACTGTAGCAGCGGCATGTCCCCACTCGGGCCCTTTGCTCTGCTGAGCAGGAGTTGCTGGAAGTCCCCCGCTCTAAACAGATCAAGGGGGGACCGGGCCTTCTCAGTAATGGCCCCTACACTCTGGAATGAGCTCCCACTGGCAGTGAAGCCAGCTCCTTCTCTACTTCTCTACGGGAGTTTGTCTCACCTGAAAACTCCCTTTTATCTACTAGCTTTCCCCTAACATCGTTGTCCCTGACTTTTGTATTTTTACTTTTTGTACTGTGTGGTTTTTAATAACTTTTACTTGTACTTTTCTATTTATTTTTTAATCAATTTTACTCTCTTTTATCTACTATGTTGTTTTTATTTTCGTTTTTATGTGCTGTTCAACACCTTGGGCCTCCGATGAGGTGGGGATAGGTAAATATTTAAATATGAAATCTGAAAACTATTTTGAGCTAGTTTATGTTTCTGGAACTAAATAAGGAAGTAAATATGTTTTAATCGCATTAAGCACAATTCATGGGAAACTTGGGAAACATGGGAAAGCAGCAGCCCTTTAGCACATGTCCCCACCAGCTTCAGAAGAAATCCTCTCATAGTTTGATGTTTATGTTTAACCCTTTTCTTAATCACAGACATTCTCAGTGTTGCAGAAGCTTGTTTAGTTCCTTCTCCTGTTTTTCCTTAGACCTAGGGACCTTTCAGTAGCTGCTCTCTCGATACTATTTAAGAGGAAGGTGGTGAGAAGGGATCAGATCGGAGTTTCCCTCCAGGGGAGCTGTTGACACTGCAAAAATTGTGGTGATTTAAAACCTAATCTCCAGCATATACACAAATAAATTAAGCTTTCTGTCTTTTTTTCTCAAAAAACGTTGTTTGAAGTTGAATAAACACTCCGATTTTGAAGTTTTTCGTTTCTGTGCATGCTCTAATTGAGCTCATTCAACGCCCTTTAAATGTGAAACGTTGATTTCTTTGTCCTGTTTAGCTGTTAGTAGCAATTTATCTTTTGCTGAGTCCAAACACCACAAGACTGATGAATATTAATATTAAGGATTCTCCACGAGACGGGCCGTGTCTCGTGTTTCTGCTGATGCTGTTAATGTCAGCAGGAAGTCAGCTGAAGAGTCTTCACATGCTGCATGTAAATCTCTTTTTGTGACTGACCCTTTAAGACCCGAAACTCTGAACAGTAAAAGCTCTATAAGATCAACTGGAACATGCAAACAGCACAAACTGAAGTCGGTTATATGAAACTTAATAACTGAGAGGCATTATCTGTGTCTGGAAATCCCCCTTTCTCTCCACCTGTTTCACACATATCTAATGTGTCTACTCTCTGTTTTCAATGTTAGCTAATGCTTTATTGCCATACCTGTCTACTTGTTATCTTTTTATCATACAGCAACAAGAACAAGACCCAACAAATCTATACATCTCCAACTTGCCGTTGTCTATGGATGAGCAAGAGCTGGAGAATATGTTGAAGCATTTCGGCCAAGTTATATCCACGCGCATCTTAAGGGACTCGGGTGGAGTGAGCAGAGGAGTGGGCTTTGCAAGGTGGGATTTTTGACTTTTTCTAGTGTTGCACCTTTACTCCCATCCTAAAAACACAAGAAATGTGCCACATTTACACGAGGTGGAAAGGATAAATACTTTCTGTTGACAACGATGTACACCTTTCTCTTGCTATTTTGCTAGCTTGTTGTTTTCTTTGCAGGAAATGTGTGAAATGTGTGTGCAACGATGTTTGTGACCTAAACAGGAAAAGACCAGAGAAGCAATGCCAGCGACAGGAAATGAGACGAATGGGAGTTTAGCTTTTCAAAACCTTAGGCATAAAAATCTGCAGAGGAAAGTCATTTAATTTTATCCCAAAAGCTCTAAAAATACCTTTTAGTTTGAGTCTTATTTTTGGGCATTTGCTCATGTAAAAATAAGATAAGGACATAAATATATTCCTTAAAAAGAAAATGTGTAGTTTTTACTGTTAAACTCTAAAAATATCCAAAGAAAAGTGGAAAATCAAATAAATGATGCCCAGTTGTTAAATAATTGGTGGCTTTGTAACGTTTAACCATAAGAATCATGTCTAAAAAACATGGAAGCGGGTCTAGGGGTGTTTCTCAATGTCAATGCGCCTGGCCTTGCGAGGTGATGTCTTTCCAGGCCAGGCGCCTTGCTTACGAGGACACTGTCCTTCCTTGGTCAAAGAAAACGGTTAAATGGAACAGACTTGCATCACGTGACCGCGGCTTCCACGGCGGTCACGTAACGTCACGTGACATGGGAGATAACGTTATATTTTATATGTATTAGTTTCAATATAAATATATAACGAGCTTTTTACTTTTTAAATTGTGTATGTTTATTAAATTTAAAATGTAAGCGAGTTACTACCCGCTAGCCACCAAAGCTGCAACTAACCAACAATAGATACCTTATCTGGATCTATAAAAAAAAAACATTTTAAATTAGTTGACTTACTTTTAAACTTAAATTGTCCCTGAAGTAGCTGCCGGCTTCTGATCCGCCGTCCTTTTGAAAATACCACGGTGTATTCTGGGTAATTTGTGGCCTAGGCTAGGCTACAAGACACCTCCCGTGTGTCCTTGCTCAGCTAGCTAAACGGCTAACAAATGGAGAACACACGCCACGGTAGAACGTGGACATTGGAACCGATTGGAACACGTCTTGGCGGCTCCTGATGCCGTATCTCCTAGGCAACCGGGGCGGGGCCAAGACATCAAGGCAAGGTTCCTTGACATTGAGAAACACCCCAAGTCTCTGGGTGACGCCATGCATCCTTCTAGGGAAGCCTGTGAGGACAAAACACATTTAGTGTTTTGTAACAATCTAACAAAACTTTCACCATTCATAAACATTGTTTTACACATTTACCTCTTCACTTATTACCAGCGATGAAAGGGTGTCTGATGTGCTTGTTGTTTTGCTGGAGGTTGCACTCCCAGGGATTTTTGACCCTAATGGTCATCCGTTGGTAAGATCTTAAGCTTGGTTTATGCTTCTGTGTCAGCGTCACGCTCGCACAGACAAAGAAGTTTAGCCTTCAGACCTCCGTCTCCAGGGGAGTGTTGCAAAGCAATTCCCACCAAGACAACAGAGGGCATAGCGTTGTTCTGCGGTATCCTGACATGTATCAGGTTCGAGATTGTGTTTATGTATTTCAGAGACCTTTTAATACGGACAAATTTGTCCCTCATCCTCCTCCACCTCTTCATGCGCTCGCCATCTCTAAACCCACGCTTCCCGTCATTTCCGTCTGCAAATAAAACGGGTGAATAAACGTTCATACGTTTTAGTTTTTCCCCGAGGTATTCTTCAGTCTGCTCCGTGTCTGCTGCTAGATAACTTTGTTTTTGACAGGGCAACGGCAGTGTTGTTGACAAAAGCGCTGTCCTGACTAATCACAAGCTTGCATTCTGTGGGTGATGGTGGCACAGGAGTTAAGTGCTCACCCCGTAATCGGAAGGTTGCAGGTTCGAGCCCCGCTCAGTCTGTCGCTGTCGTTGTGTCCTTGGGCAAGACACTTAACCCACGTTGCCTGCTGGTGGTGGTCGGAGGGACCGGTGGCGCCAGTGCTCGGCAGCCTCGCCTCTGTCAGTGCGCCCCTGGGCAGCTGTGGCTACATCGTAGCTCATCCCCACCAGTGTGTGAATGTGTGTGTGAATGACTGATTGTGTTGTAAAGCGCCTTGGGGGGTTCCAGGACTCTAGAAGGCGCTATATCAAATACAGGCCATTTACCATTCTCCGTCTTGTTCGACGGATGTTTAGAAAAGTGGGCTTGACTCCCTCCGTCCTTGCGAGGGCTCTCCAGCAGGCTTGCAAGGACGTTGCGTGTCTCCATACCGACGCAGAAGCATAAACTAGGCTTTACTGGAACATAAAAATACCCTCTGGCTTGCAATGATTTAGGTATGTGCCCCCTACCATCAGGGAAAATACACACCATCACTTTAAACCTGTTTATTGCTAACATCTCAGAGCTGTACGTGTTTATAGTTGGTAAAAGAGAAAGAGGGTTCAGGCATGAATGAATGTGATTTTTAAAATTGTTTCAAACAGAGTTGAGTAATTCTGTGTATTGCTGGTTAGCAGCTTGAATAACCTGACATTTGACTGACCTGACAGAAAAACAAAATCATTCTGAGCCATAGAAAAGCTAGTGTGTGTGTGTGTGTGTGTGTGTGTGTGTGTGTGTGTGTGTGTGTGTGTGTGTGTGTGTGTGTGTGTGTGTGTGTGTGTGTGTGTGTGTGTGTGTGTGTGTGTGTGTGTGTGTGTGTGTGTGTGTGTGTGTGTGTGTGTGTTGGCACAATGACAAAGTACATTGCACAACCTGCTGCGTGCAGCGCCGTATGGACAGGCTGATAAAATCTTTTTGTGATACAGAAGCACTTCCACCCAGGTGTACAGGAAGCAGGTTTAGGAAAGCACCTGCTTGCTCTTGTTTCTGGAGTTATCACTGACGGGGTTATTGTGTGTGTGTGTTTCCATCCTTGCAGGATGGAATCGACAGAAAAATGTGAGGCAGTGATTTCTCACTTTAATGGAAAGTTCATCAAAACACCTGCAGGTGTACCAGGTAAGACTGCAACACACGTAATTATCTCCTAAACACCGAAATGTTCATTAAAGGTATGAAAAGAAAGCAGGTGTTAAAGCGTGGGGCTGCAGTCGGAGCTCTGTTAGTGGGCGGAGCCATATCAGAGGGATAAAGTGCTTGTCTGTATGATTAATGCATCCAACAGGAGTCGGTGAGTCTGGAGGTGAAGAGATCATATGCACTCAGCCTGAAGTGGCAGAGCTAAAACAAAAGGCAGCCAGAGAAAGCAGCTCTGTGAGCCTCCACTCCCTCTCTAAGCTTTTTAATTGGATTATCAGACTGAAATAGTCGCTGCTGGCCTTGCCTTCTTTAGGAAGGGGAGCGGATTACTGCTCCACAGCTGCCAAATTACATGTCTCAATTCCCAGGCTGGTTAACATCTCTGTGCTCTCTGGCTTTGGCCTGTGTGTGTGTGCGCGCGTGTGTGTGTGTGTGTTTTGCCATGTTAAAGACATTATTTCGTCTGACATACTTTACATTCTGCTCTCTCCAGCACCTCCTGAACCGCTGTTGTGTAAGTTTGCCGATGGAGGACAGAAAAAGAGGCAAAGTCAAAATAAATTTGGTCAGAATGGCCGCGCCTGGGCGAGAGACAGTGACTCCAGACTGGTAAGTGGGACCTGGGACAACCAGTGTTTCCAGTCTGAGATCTCCTGTGCTGACTATTGTTTGATTGCTCAGACCTAATCGTCACCAGTTAGTGTTTTAAAGGTGTGCTTGTGCAAACGTGAGTTTCAGGTATCAAAACCTGATCTCCTGCCTGCAGACTCTATAAATGTCCCATGCATACATCCGATAGGTTTAGCTAAGGCATGCTGTCCAACAACTCGCCCTTCTGCAAATGCGTGCTTCACTTATTCTCAACACTGAAGTTGAAGATGCACAAACTGTACATTATTATTTTAAAGTAAAGATGAATAGTCTTTAGTGATATCTGTGCAGAATTGTTTTATCTGATTATTTTAGCTGTTTGGAGCGGCATAATTAAGTGGAGAAGCTAAATTTGTGTTTTATTGGGTCCCAGGCTGGAATGACCCTGACATATGACCCCAGCACAGCTGCTATGCAAAACGGGTAAACTGGATTAACACACACAGTTGGCCTACTGTCCCATTTAATCTGCTTGTTCATTTCTAACTTAATTCTGTGTCCACAGATTTTTCCCTGCTCCATATATCTCAAGTAGGATGATCACTCAAACATCCATGTCTCCCTACATGTCTCCAGTTTCAGCGTATCAGGTTCGGCTTCAGCTAGCAAACCGTTCGATTGGGTTTCAGGGTATTATTTGATCGGTTTTCTGTTGTGCAGATGCAGAACGCTTCTTGGATGGCTCATCAACCCTACATCATGCAGCATCCTGTAAGAGCAACGTCTCCTCCCTCTCTCTCTTTTATTATCAGTTTCATTCTTCCAAAATATTTCCCTCTGTGGTTGCAACAGAACTGAGACATTTTCCTGTAAACAGACACAGAATGGACGATACGTCCATAAGGTGAAACTAAAGGACTGAACCGTCTGTGCAGGAATGTAAAATCCATGTCTTTGGAGACTCTTTAGAAATGAGTGCCTGTAATGACAGATGCTTAATATTTTATAACAGATGGCTCAAAACTGAGAGAGGAGTTGTTTTTTTAATTTGAGAATGAGCCAGCAGATGAGAAAACACTGCCTGATGGTTCAAGCCAGTCAAGATGCTTATAGACAGCTTGCTCAACGGTGGGCTTCAGATTAATCTGACTCTGAAAGGCACGGGTCATTATTCAGATATGTGTTGATGCGTTTAAAACTAAGATGTGATGGAGTTCCTGTCGTGGTATTTACATGTTTTTAATCATTTTTTATCTTTCTAGACAAACACTGGCCTTTTAATCATTCACAGTGCATGCCCACCTCCTTTTGTTTTTAAAGGGTGCTGTGCTATCGCCCTCTATTGACCCATCTGTGTCACTGCAGCCTACTTCCATGATGACCCCTCTCGCACAGCAGATGAATCACCTCACACTAGGTGGTGCAGGAACGGTGAGAGAACCTGAACGGAATCCTCCAAATAAAAAATAAAATCAACTTTTTTTTACTCATAAAAATTATAGACTATGATATTATATTCTGCATGTTTCTTTGTGTCTGCAGTTTATGGCTGCTAACACAGCTGTGCAAGGCGGATATATCCCACAGTACGCACACATGCACACATCTGTTCCTGTGGAGGTGGGTAGAAACAAAAACTCTGGTCTTCATTTAAAAATGTCAGCAGTTAATTTTTTTTCCCCACATTCTCTTTCAGGAAAACAGCGGGCAGTCACAAGTAGACTCATCTGGCAACCATTCCCCGTATTCCTACCAACAAACCAAGTAGGGCCGAGGTAACAGCTGGACAACCGTGTCTACAGACCCAGTGGACTTTTAAGGAATTTTTACTTTTTTTTTCTGCAGGTTTTGCAAATCAGTGACACTTTTCTCCTGGCTTCATTTTCAGAGATTTTATCTGACGTCATTAAATGATTCATATACTATTTAAAACAAAAATGTTTTATTTTCATACTAGAAAATGTTTTATTTTTACAAGGATTTGCCACAGAATGCAGTAAATAACCATGTAACTAGTTTTAGTAAATATGTCTTGTTTGTTTTCCCCCCGAAACTGTTTTTGTTCTCTGTGTGTGTGTGTGTGTGTGTGTGTGTGTGTGTGTTATGTTGTTTTGCTGTAAATGGTTTTCCTTTGTTTTAATTTCAGAATGATTTTGCTGTTTTTTTTTTTTTTTTTTTTGCTGTTTGACTAAAATTTGCCTTAATAGTTTTAATGAAACACCAGAATGTCATAAAAAACCTGACATTTAAAAAGATAATTACATTTTTAAACTGTTTGTTTCCCAAGATGAAAGGAAACTTAGACCAACATTTAGGACAAAAGGTTATTGTGATTGTGTGTGTTTTTTAGGTAAATATACCACATTTGTGGTCAGACATCTTCAAGGAGATAATTTCGTAATCCTGCCTTTTCAAATGTTAGCGTTTTAGTGTTTAAATTTTGTGGGTTAAGTAAGTTTGGGAATTTTTTTACAGGGTTCACCTTTTTGCTTTTATGTTATATTTGTTATTTTAATGGGAAATAGTTTCTATTTTATTCAAAAAACATTGAAACAGGAAAAAAACTGTTGCATGATTGAGAAAACAAATGAAGGTTTTAGTTTAGGGTAATTTAGATAAACTTCTTACGTTCACGCCTAACTCTGTTGATCGTAAACAAACCATATTCACCAAAGACTCATCCTAAAAACTGGCATCGTTTGACTCGTTCACCAGGAAGTAAGTGATTCCGCAAACTTCTGCAGTTTTTGGAAAATGTGCCTTTTTGTAAATGTGCAGTTTTCTTAGATTTTAGTAGCAAACACGAGCAAAGGGAAGGTTTCCAACAAGTGCCACACACAATTTCTCATTGCAAGAAAAACTACAAAAATATCAAAGAGCAGAGCGGTCTAAAACATGATGCTTAATAATTAGTAAACATTTGATGGTGTTCTCCGCTGATCTGATCAGACCAGTAATCTACCTCAGAGTTTTTGTTCTGCTTTTATTAAGTCGTGTTAGCAAGTCCAGTCCACCCCTCCAGACCAAATACCCCACTCAGGAGCTGGCTACACACACATATTAATTTTCCTCAGTTTATGTTTGCATTTTGTTGCCCTAACCAGGGGTAGCGATGCGTTTCTTTTGTGTTTTGTTGCCTTGATTTAATTCCAGAGGCTGATCTAAAATCATCTAAGACCTACAGCCAAGCTTTATGTTATGTTAAAATGGTTTCTTTCTGTTTTGGATCGGTGTAAAGTAACATATTCTGTGGGATGTGCAGGAAATGTAAAGGCCACAATACTTGATTTGTGTGTAATGCCTGGGACTGACGAGTGATACTGTCCTCATGAGGTTTATGCTGCTAAGTGGTGTCTGAACCAAGTGCCATAATCTGGGTCAAACATCAGCTCAGAAATGTTACCATCACCTTGAACATTCAGTAAGTTTTGTGGAAATGTTCTAACTTATGAAGATTTTTGTACAGACAGCTTAAGGAAATAAGAGATTTTCAAAGAGCTACGAGAAAGTGTCTGTTTTTTTGTGCCACAATTACCAAAGGTAACTCTGTGTACAGTTTAAGAAATCAGTTCCCCCCCCCCCCCCCCCCCTTGGTGATGTTTGTTTTGAAGCTGAAATGTTTTTTTTTTCCTTTAGATTGTCACCAAAAGTTTGTTCTGTTAATTTCTTGATATTTTTGAATAAAAACAAACACATTTTTAGGTCATAATTGCCCAGGTTGTATATTCAGCCATTTGTTTTTATTTTTCTATTGTTTCGATATTCTTTTGAGATGAGTTTAAATGTTATATGAACGACTGCTTCTACCCAGGAGGTGACGACCAGGTCAGAACTAAACCATCACTGTCGCATGGTATGGCTGACAACATTCATGGCCTGGACATGGTTGGTTTGAGTATCAGAGCATATAGGGGGATGCTCTAATTGCTTGGATGTGGCCGTCTGTGAGCAGGCCTCTCCAAAGCAGATGGGTCCCCCCCTCCCTCCATGGTACCCTGCAGAGTGTTGTGCCACTCTACGGGAAGCCACTAGCTCCAGACGAGGAGCAAAACTCACACTCCAGCTGTCCATGTTGGTGCCACATGCGCTTACAAACAGTGGAGTGAAAGCGTCCCTTTCCCCTGAAGAACAACTCTTACTGTCCTGTTTTTGAAACTTTTTGATTACTTTGACTCTGGCAGTCATAGGAATTTCCATAACTTCTGCTTTATTTTGCAATAAATTGCAAAATGAGGTCTCCAAGTGAATGTAGGTTGACTTGGAATTGCAGCAAGATATTGAAATAAGAAGTGGGTAATTCATCTTGGTTTTATACTATTTTGCAATGAAGCTTTGACTTCGTAGTATTTTTGTTTTACTTTTTGGAAGACTTGTTGTAATGTACCCTTAGCTTTAAAGATGATATTAGATAGCTAAAATATCACAGAAGGCAATAATGACAAAAATTATCAACATTTTACAAGGAGTCTATTTTGAAAATAAGAGATTAAATGAATCAAACGGTTTGTCGTTGCAATACTTGTTTGGCAATAGATTTTTCCCTTAATATATATCATTTTATTCATGTACTACTAATTAAATACCGTAAATCCTCTAATACAGGCCGGTATTCAATTAAAAGCCGGGTCTCCAATTTTGGCCGGTGTCAGAGTCAGCGGAGGTAAATAATGGCCGGTCTCTTATTGTGGCCGAATGGAATTAACAAGCAAGTACGAGCGTCCCAGCGGTAGTCCCCAAATCAACCAGCAGAAGGCAGTAGGTGTTCACGCAGACCTTTATGAGGCTTTTTCTTCAACACTTTGTAACGCTACAGACACGATCCTCTATCACGCTCCTACCACACAGAGTCATGGTGTCAGTTAACCATGCTAATTCAACCCGCTCCACAGAACACACATCACCTTCCCTGTGGCTTACATAACACTCACACAACACGCAAATCAGCACATAGGAACTAGCAGAACGATAGGAAACACATATAACACAATACCCAGAATGCACCTGGCTTACAACCCCGGCCAGGTCATTACACTATCAAGTTCAAAGAGAACGTGCTGATTATGCTGCAGAACACTCTGGAGAGCAGCAGTAGGGGTTGTATGAACTACAGTAATCCCTCGTTTATCGCGGTAGATGCGTTCCAGACCTGGCCGCGATAGGTGAAAATCCGCGAAGTAGGGACTCCCAGCATGCCCCTCGCGGGGATTCCCTCCACGTCGCACCTACGTCACAAACCGCGGCTATAAACGGAAGTCGCCTTTCCAGCTCACCACTCAGTCATCGTTTCTTCAGATTCACGATCAGAGTTTCCAACCTACCGATCAATCCAACGAACTATCAGCTCATAGTAAGTTATCTTACTTACTTCTGGAAAGCCCGGCATTTCCGTGTCACTTCGTTGACGCTCGAACGCTCGGGGGTTTCCTAGAGCAGCCGGCGTTTCACCGACGCTATCACTTCCGCGTCTGTGAAACCACGCTCCCTATTGAATTATCGTATGATCACATTCTCTGTGATCAGCAACGCGCTGTGCCAGACCGTAGGTACTGACACGCGATCGTTCATGTCAGTTCATTTCCTTTAATGTTTTCTGTCTTTTATTTGCGCCTGATGCGTTTCGCTGCTGTGGAGCGGGGCGCTGCGGGCATCACCTTGTCCTCCGATGCACTGATCACTGATACGGCCGCCAAACAGCGAGCGCTCCGCTGTTTTTACTGTCGGTAGATCTTTTAGAACTGCAGTTCAAAGGTAACTCATGAGGTGAATATATATGAACCCAGGTAGCAGTTTCTCTTTAGGATTGAGAGGAGATGCAGGAAGATAATAAACAGACAGGACAGAAAAATAGTCAAATAAAAACAAGTTAGTTTTTGTACCTGGTGTTGCAACAAACAGACACCATTGAAGGTCATCAGAAGTGAGGAACAGAAAATGAAATAATTATTTTAATGTTTAGAGCAGCAGGAACTCCGAGAGGCTGCAGGCGCATCCGTGAGTTTGCGGCTGCTGCGCAGGGGGAGGGGGGAGATGGCTGAAGCAGAAACTACCGTTGTTAAAAGAAATGTGTTTAACTTTGAAAATGTGGGCGCAATTTTAATTGTCAAAAACTCCAGCGAACCATTAGTTCATTTTGCTCAAATAGAAATAGAGGCCTGCCTCTAATACTGGCCCTCCTTCCAATAAAGGCCTGGAGCTTGATGAGCTTGAGTCAAATACAGGCCCGGGCCTGTATTAGAGGATTTACGGTAAATCAGATTATTTTTTTAATGTTGAACACCATGCCTGCAGCGCCATCTACAGGTTTATGCGTGAACATCATAAACATCTTCCTGGGGTTTAAAGAATCAACAATAACTCATTTTAACTACCTTAATGTAGCTTAAATTTTTACTTGCAGATTATGGTCAAAATGATTATTTAGTTGTTCTTAATTGATGCCTATGGGAGAAACACTCGCAGATCTTTTAAGTCTTATTTCTCCCCATACTTTACTGCTAAAATAAGTGACTGCGTTTCATTTTAGATGAGTGCTGTTGTATTGAGCTTTATGCATCATGTCCGAGCCTTGCTTGCCTGCTGTGGGTGGATGGTGGGCGGGGTTTTAAGCTCACGCTGTTGGGAGCAGAAAGCAACAGTACTCTGACTGAAAAACTCGGAGCTGCAGCAGGATTTGTGTTTTGTGGCGCAGCTGCTGTCATGGAGCCGCGGAAGAAAAGTCCCCGTTCCCTGTTCGTTACAAGTTGTGTTTTCCTGCTGTGTGTCGGCTCGCAGCGGGTTTCTGCGGGAGGTGAGGCTCTTAAATGTTTGCTATGAGCTAAACGAACGCGGTGTTTTTGTAATTAAACCACGTTTTTGTCGATTAATCGCCGATTAGGGCCTCCTAGTAGGTGCTTTGAACTTCGCTCGTCCTCTATATACATAAAGCAACGTCGTCGTGGACTTTACAGGGGACAGATAAGTTGTTGCTTTTTATAAACTTCCCTGCGTCTCGACACTGTTGTTCTGCCAATCACTAACGCACGCGCTCACCGCGCTCCTACCATTACTTTGATCAGTAGCTAATTACTTTGACGCTAATACTAACGTTCAGATCAAAGCGAAACAAGGACATTCTAAAAAAATATACTGAGTCTTTTTGGACCACTCTGTGAAGTAATTTGATAAAATGTTGCATATTTATTGTTTGTTTGTTTGTTAAATAATCAGAGCTTAAATAAAGAAGAGAGAACCGTAGAAAGATTTGCAATCATTTCGGAAAAAGTTCATTGTTAAAGGGGAAGAGACTTGTCACGAGTTAAAACTGTTTGCTTCATGACTCAAAGTTGCAACTTCTTAAATTTATGTTTTGGTCTTTTTGCTTTGGTGATAACGTCATGGGCTGAACATAGAATACATTTGAAGGGCACATATTTGTCTAGTTTATGTACTGAAAAACTCATTGAGCTTAAAACAAAATGATACACTGGGAGGTTTTAGCATTAACCATCAACATGCATACAGGTGCTGGCCAGTAAATTAGAATATCATCAAAAGGTTGAAAATATTTCAGTAATTCCATTCAAAACGTGAAACTTGTACATTATATTCATGCAATGCACACAGACCAATGTATTTCCAATGTTCATTACATTTAAATTTGATATTCATAAGTGACAACTAATGAAAACTCCAAATTTGGTATCTCAAAAAATTAGAATATTCTGAAAAGGCTGAATATAGAAGACACCTGCTGCCACTCTAATCAGCTGATTTACTCAAAACACCTGCAAAGGCCTTTAAAAGGTCCCTCAGTCTTGTTTTGAAGGCACCACAATCATGGGGAAGACTTCTGACTTAACAGCTGTCCAAAAGACAATCATTGACACCTTGCACAAGGAGGGCAAGACACAAAAGGTGATTGCTAAAGAAGCTGGCTGTTCGCAGAGCTCTGTGTCCAAGCACATTAACAGACAGGCGAAGGGACGGAAAAAATGTGGTAGAAAAAAGTGTACAAGCTCTAGGGATAACCGCACCCTGCAGAGAATTGTGATGACAAACCCATTCAAAAATGTGGGGGAGATCCACAAAGAGTGGACTGCAGCTGGAGTCAGTGCTTCAAGAACCACCACGAGGAGACTCATGAAAGACATGGGATTCAGGTGTCGCATTCCGTGTGTCAAGCCACTCTTGAACATGAAACAGCGCAAGAAGCGTCTCGCCTGGGCCAAGGACAAAAAGGACTGGACTGATGCTGAGTGGTCCAAAGTTATGTTTTCTGATGAAAGCAAGTTCTGCATTTCCTTTGGAAATCAAGGACCCAGAGTCTGGAGGAAGAGCGGAGAAGCACAGAATCCACGTTGCATGAGGTCCAGTGTAAAGTTTCCACCGTCAGTGATGGTGTGGGGTGCCATGTCATCTGCCGGTGTTGGCCCACTCTGTTTCCTGAGGTCCAGGGTCAATGCAGCCGTCTACCAGGAAGTTTTAGAGCACTTCATGCTTCCTGCTGCTGACCAACTTTATGGGGATGCAGACTTCACCTTTCAACAGGACTTGGCACCTGCACACAGTGCCAAAACCACCAGCACCTGGTTCAAGGACCATGGTATCCCTGTCCTTGATTGGCCAGCAAACTCGCCTGACCTTAACCCCATAGAAAATCTATGGGGTATTGTGAAGCGGAGGATGCAATACGCTAGACCCAACAATGCAGAGGAGCTGAAGACGACTATCAGAGCAACCTGGGCTCTCATAACACCTGAGCAGTGCCACAGACTGATCGAGTCCATGCCACGCCGCATTACTGCAGTTATTGAGGCAAAAGGAGCCCCGACTAAGTATTGAGTGCTATACATGCACATTCTTTTCATGTTCATTCTTTTCAGTTGGCCAACATTAGAGAAACAAACATTTTTTCATTGGCCTTTAGAATATTCTAATTTTCTGAGATACCAGATTTGATGTTTTCATTGGTTGTCACCTATAAATATCAAAATTAAACGTAATAAACATCGGAAATACATTGGTCTATGTGCATTGCATGAATATAATGTACAAGTTTCACGTTTTGAATGGAATTACTGAAATATTTTCAACCTTTTGATGATATTCTAATTTACTGGCCAGCACCTGTATATGGACAATGGGTTTCCATACACTCCAATAATAAGCTTTTGTACTAAAATGGGAGGCGGCCACCACCACCATTTTGACCGTGTCACAGGTTCCGTCAAGCCCAGACAATTCCACAAAAGGGAAGAGAGGAGGAGCTGAGGGTGGGGCTGTAAGGCTGGGATCAACTGACGACACCCGGTCGAACTAGCTACAAGCTAACCTGAAGCTAACCCAAAGCTAATGTGGAGGTGGGAGCTAAGCTAACGGAGGTAGCAACCTAGCTACAACCGGAGTTAACTGTGCACCACACCAGAGCTTCTGAGTCAGAGATACGCCGGGCTGACCGCTGGGTAAAACCGGGTGGAATACAGAGGTCTCCGAGACCTCCACAAGCCGGCAGCTGCACAGCAGACATGCGCTGCTGCGATCTGAGATGCACAGAGCTGCTGCTGGGGAGAACCGGGTGGAAAGGTTTCCATCCCAGAGCTCTACAAGCCGTCAGCCCGCGCAGCAGACAGAAGCCGCGATCAGACAGAGATGCACTGAGCTGCGGGGAGGGGAGAACCAGGTGGAAAAAATCGGTCTCCCGAGAGCTCCACAAGCCGATAGTTGGAACCCAGCTCCACCAACATGTTATATTTCAACCCATTTTCTAAAGTGCAGCATTATGTTAAATGCACTGGGTTTTACCCTATTACATTTAAATTTCATGGTTAAACAGTACATGTTAAAATCTAAGCTCAGCTCGGCAGTGACCTAAAATACATAAATATAATTTTACTTACAGTAAAAAATGAAGTGGAGACTCCTTGGACGCTCTATTAGTGCAATTAATGCCACAGCAAGTCATTTTGTCCAACACTTGCACAAAAAATATCCAAAACACAATACACAAACAGAGACTCAAAATCCCGGAACAGTTTCCAAGCCAGGCCGAGGCTCTACTGAGGCCTTTCCATGGAGCTAGTTCTGTGGTCACGTGGGTCTGATGCTCATTAATTATACAGAATTTTAGGCTTTTAATACAGAAGAGTGAGAAAAAATTCACCCCCCCTCAGAGTTGTCATGAGTGTAAACTAGATAATTTAAACAAAAAACATGTTTTGGTATCAGGCTATAAACATGTTTATTTCTGCTGTGAAATTGGTATTTTTCAACATAGGAATCAATGAGAATTTGCTCGCTTCTGACACCAGCCCCCAGCGGATGAGGGTGGAACTGCAATTTTTGGTACTTCCGGGTTGAGACCAGTTTCTGAGCCGCATTGTGGGGGCTTGGCATTAACTTGTGAATGTTATATTAGGGTTAGGGATGTTGTACATCAGACTTTTCAGGAATTGACAAGCTAGCTTAATTAGGGTTTTTATGATTCCTAAAAAGCCACTTCCATGCAGATAAAAGGCATACTGTGAAACTTTTTCATATATGTAAATTATTTTCTGGAGCCAAATAGCAAAGCTCTTGATTTAATGGTCGATCTTCGTTCCTACCCTCACCTATGGCCACAAGCTTTGGATAGTGACTGAAAGAATGAGATTGCAGATACAAGCGGCTGAAATTAGTTTTCTCCACAGGGTGGCTGGGCTCTCCCTTAAAGATGAGAAGCTCTGTCATCTGGGAGGGGCTCGGAGTAGACCAGCTGCTCCTCCACATCGAGAGGAGCCAGTTGAGGTGGCTCAGGCATCCAGTTAGGGTGCCTCCTGGACGCCTCTCTGGTGTGGTTTTACGGGCACATCCAACTGGGAGGAGACCTAAGGGAAGACCCGGGACACTGGAGGGACCGTGTTTCACAGCTATCCAGGGAACGCCTTGGGATTCCTCCAGAGGAGTTGTCCCAAGTGGCTGGGGAGAGTGAAGTCTGGGCCTCCCTGCATAGAGTACTGCCCCTGCAACCCAACCCCAGATATGTGATTGAAAGTGGATGGATGGCTTTTCTTGAGCCAGTATGTGCTTAAATGACCCTTTACAGGGTTCATGAAATATCACTTAGATCCCACCAACCACTGTAGCCAGAATACCACACTTGCAACTTCAAAGTATCCAGACCGGTCCCTTGTCAATAGTAAAGTGGTCTGCTTCCAGCATGTTTCCAGCATGTTTTAGATCATTAACACAGCTGATTTGTTTGATTTTAGTGATGAATCACTCCTGTCGAAACTATTGAAGGCGGATGAGATATTTCAGCATTTGGATTAAGATGTTAAAAACACAAATGCCGTGAGAAGAGTTTTACTTTTGGTTTTACTACAGTGAGTTAAGACAGACTCTAGGGGGTGCTAAAAGCAAACCACATCTGCATATTTCCCCTTTTTAAAAAAAAGTCTGACATTCTGACAACTGGAACATTTTTATTCTTTTTGATCTGATCTTCCTTTTCAACCAGAGGATCCAGAATATTAAAGTGCGTAAATGTTTGTACCTGTCAAGTTACCTGAAACTTAAGGACCAGAATTACACTGCTGAACTTCTATAGGTTTATGTTTATGTATTTAGCAGACACGTTTGTCCAAAGCGACTTACAAGTGATAATCAGCATGTTGCCCTTGAGGCTAACAACAACAACAACTTGACATCAATCATGGAGAGGAGGGAACACGGAGTGGACAGTAGAGACGGGGGACGGGTTCAGTGAGGGTGCTAGTTTAGAAGATGCTCTCTGAAGAGCGGGAGTTTCTTGAAAATTGAAAAGGAAGCCCC